ATGCCATATATGGGCTTTGACAGGGCCTGTTTAGGAAGTTCAACGCAAGCCACGTTCTCTGCTGTCTCAGCACTAAGACTGGGTTGAGTATTTCTTGCAGTCACCAGTTTATTTCCTAGAACCATAGTTTGGATCAGGCTGAAACTATTTGAAAATTCAGGTTAAATGCCCCAAACAGGTTAGTTAAAACAAAACCAAACAAAAAAAAACCCCAAACACAAATAGATCTGGGCATTCTCACCCCAACATCCTCATATCTCACCTCCTATCTGCTGCCCTCCGTGAATTACTGTGGAGCAGCGGGGGTCGAAGCCCACCTCTGTGCCTTGTGATCACAGCACCGTGGGCACTATCATCTGAGACGTGAGTTCAAGTGCCCTGGGACACAGTAGGTCTTCATACCTATCTCTTCTTCCTGGGCCAGTGTTCTGGCCACAACGATAATGCACAAACCTATTCACTCCTCACTGCAGCTGCTGTCACAGTGCCTCAGTTTAGCCCTCTATTTCTATCACTTTTTGATAAAGGGAGAAAACATGTTTCCTTGTTTTCAACAAAAGGAAGACTCAAAATTTTTTTTCCATTTTAGTGAGAGTAACTGAAAAATATGAAGTCCAACATGAGGCTTTTTGGCTGTAGGTTCAATTGCTAAAGCAAGCGCAAGACTAGAGCCTTCTTGAAGACATCCTGAACCCAAGGCAAGGAAAACCCCTTGTGACCTTTTCCAGATGAGAAAGTGAAAAGTCCCTGAGCTGCTTTGGATGGGGAAAGCCAAAATCCTGGACAAGATTTACTTGTAACTTCAACTTAGGAAGCCAGCAGTGGAAAGAAGGAAAAGAGTGTCGTGGTTTAACTCCGGCTAGCAAACTCCGGCTTTGTGCTAAACCCAGCACAAAGAGCTTGCTGCCAATGAGAAACAACTTTTGCATTGCACAGCCCAGTAAGTATCCAGCTTCCAGTTACAGTCTGCACCTTGATCTCTAAAACCATTTCAACTGTTTCAGCTCAGGCAGAGGAACCACCACTGGTTGTTCTGTGATGTGGCTAATGAAGATGTCCAACCCCTTCTACCTAGGACCCTACGAAATGCAACCTAGGACCCTAATTTCTGGCCCCTGAGCTTCTGCTTCCCTCTTCCTACTTTGTATTTTGCATTTTGAACATTCCCTCCCTCTGCCTGCAACATTTTCTGCACCAGAACGAGGTCCTTCATAAATTAAACCCTCCCTGTTGAGACCCAGCCTGCAGCTCTTTGCAAAAACAGGTATTGCTGCCCACTTCCTCGCACAGCTCCCTTTGGTAATATCCGTGGGATTTTGCAGTGCTAGGAAACACTGGCTCACAGGTGGCTAAATTGTAGAGACTATGGTAAACAAGGGAACACCAGAGAGAATAAATAGCCCCATGTCGGACAGGGGGAGGTCTGGCATAACTTTAGCTGCTGTCTTCAACATTCCCTGTTGCTGAGTTGACAGAGGCTGCAACCCAATGGCTCCAGCCACCAACTCCGCCTGCTTATACAAGGCACTTGATAATATAGTGCCCTTTAAAACCCAGGCTCAGCAACGCCTGGGGAATTCCTTTGCAAGGTTTCAAAGCTCCTGACAGCATCCACAGAGCAGAAAAAACTCCCCAGTCAGGTGGGACCCTTCTGCCAATAAATTCAGCTGGCTGCTCACAGCAGCACGCGCCTGGGGATTAACTGCTATTTCACCACTGCCCTACCAATGAGTTGATGGTGGTTTAGCCTCCAGAGAGCCAGGCCTCTTGATAACAGACTGGCATGATCTGTCCCTGCTTTGCTGACTGCAGCCACCAAATCCCAAGAGGGCTGCATGCCCTGTTGTCACAAAGCATTAAAAAACCAAGTCTGATGCCTTCCCATTCAAAACTGGAGATAATTTGAAACGTAGCTGAAATTCTGCTTGTTAAAAAATGAAACCCAGTGAGGGGGAGGAAGCACAAGATGGGCCAGGGAGCTTTTTTTTTTTCCTCTGAAAGGCTGAGTTGCATCAGCTAGAAAGACAGGACAAAACTCAGCAGTGAAAAAGATCAGCACGACTGAGCTTGGAAGGGCAGCAATCACCACTCAAGCAAAACTGAAACGTTTCACTCATGGCTTCGTGTATCTTTGCCAATAAGGAGATGTCTGGATTCCTCTCCTAGCGCAGAGCACTTGAACTCAGCCGCACAAAACCAACCCACCACGCTGACAGGCGTGCATAGGGATGGAGGCTGACGGACGGCACGGCCCACCAGCTCCTTGCCCGCTGCAAGGTAGGCAGTGGGGCAGCAGCGGCAGAGGCTCTTACTTCTCCCAGGGACGAGCCGGCTGGGACAGCACTTCCCAGCGTAGCTGCACTTCTTGCCAACGCATGGAGGAGGTTGCACTGATCAAGCAAGGCCTTTCCCTCCCTCATGGAGGAGGAAGCCCGTTGAAGCCCATTCCAGCCCTTTTCCCGCACAGCCACCTGCTTCCTTTGCAGGTTGTGATGGGATCGGGGCCAGCGCTCAGCTGTTTTCTTGGCCCTGACAGCTCCCCAGAAAGGGAGAGCACCCATGCCAGCAGCCGCGTCTTTCCTTGTGTCACCCAAGGCTTATCTGTAAGGAGAAGCAGCTCATAGCAGCAAGCTTTGCAAAGTAGATAATGCAAAAAAATGGTGCCTTGTACTTCTCTGCATGTAAGCCCTGGACACCCCCCAGCTGAGATAACAGGACTTTCTTCAAAGCTGGTCCATAAGGCAGTGGCCAAACTGAAGTCTTCACCTTCCCAGCGCACGACTGTTGTCCCATTAACAGCGCATCCAGATCCTAAGGAACACCTCCTCTGCCACAGACACCAGAGTTTGGGTCCTTCTGATATCCAGCATCCCTCTCACTCCCTCTTTACTCTGGGGCTGTCCTGAGGCTGGTGTGCAGAGGTCACCCTGCTACAGAAGGCTCTTGGAGGATTACTCAACTGGCATCACCACTACGAGCCGCCTCTTTTTCTGTTACGCTTTCCCTAACAAACTTCTAGCTAAAATAAGATGCTACTGCAAACAATCTTTCCACTAAGCTCAGCCTCAAAGGGAGGTCAGTGCCAACACACCTCGGAAAACCTTATTGCCGCATTTAAAAACCTGAAAAACGCAGCTCAAAGATCACAGAAAAGGCAAAACTTTTGATTCTCTCTTTGTGTACACACCCATGTAATATCTCTGTTTTCAACAAAGCTGCTCCTGACTTAATGAGATAAGCAGAGAACCAAGGGACCTGTTTTACCACATTGTAGGGCCAAAGTCTCTTGAGAATCTGTGTCACTCGAATGCAGTCACATCTCACCAAGAGTATCAGGCAGAAACAGGAAGATGCCTCTCAAATACAAGCAGAAGTTTGAAAATAAAGGTCGCCAACTTGTCTTTCCCTGGGGTGTTCTGCTTTCTGGTTGCTAGTTACTGAACCCTTTGGGGGGCTGCGCAAAGAGGGATTCAGTTTGCAGATGTGGGTTACTTGTCTTCAAATCATGGCAATCACGAATCTACAGGCTGAAAATACGTTTTCTTCCAAATACATTTTGTCACGGCCAAGAAAAAAACCAGTTCTGCTGCTGCTCAGCAAGGCCTTCTCATGTTTCCAGAGATCCCGAGAAGATGGTTTTGAGGGTCTGGAGCAGCTCAGCACATTTCGAGTAGCACAGTCTAAGGGGGAGGCTGGAGTTGCCTTGAATGAGGCTGTGCTATCTGATGGGCTGGTCTCCTCCTCAGGTTAATCAGAGCACAATTCCCACCTCTGACCTACCCCCAGTTTCACACCTGGGGCATGAAGAGAGCAGTAAAAGTACATACACCACCCCAAACTCTGGGAGAAGCCTTCGATTCCATCTCCTTTTCTACCACCAGAATGGCAAAAGCAAAACTCAAAGCATTTAGCCAAGCTACCCAGTTGGTTAAAACACATTTATATCATACGGATAACACTACAAAGGTTAAAAACAATCCACTTCTTCCTCAGCTTTATATCGCATAGTGTCCATTTCTGTTGCATGGATCTCGGAGCTATGTGTAGACCCACTCCAGATAACACTACGAAGGTTAAAACCAATCCACTTCTTCCTCGGCTTTATATCGTATAGTGTCCATTTCTGTTGCATGGAGCTCGGAGCTATGTGTAGACCCACTCCTCGCTGATGACCAGATTCCTCACTCCAATGAATAATGTTCTCAGGAGCTTTAATAAATTCTGGAGGTGAACCAGAGCACCAGAACCGATTTAGATTCAAGGAGTTCCAGGAATCCCAACTATCAAAAGCTACAGAAAACATTTTCTAAGAGTCAGATGCCAGGACTTCCTATGTCTCCTCTGCTTTCTGATGCAGCAGATCACACACGTGGCACCCTGAGATCCAGCAGATCGGATCACACACGTGGCACGCTGAGATCCAGCAGATCAAACACCCAGCTCCCTAAAATATGCACTCAGAAACACACAAGTCTAGGAAACCTTAAACTCTCACCAGACATGCATGATGTAAAAGGCATTTTTGCAGGTAGGAATGTCACCTAAATGAAGGCACATAGCAGGGAGAAGGGAAATATGCTTGAAAACTGCCATATTCTAACAAACGCTACAATCTCCAGCTGTGAATACAAGCTGGCATCACTCAGAGCAGCATCAAGGTTGCTCTAAATTCCACTTAGAGTGGGGAAGAGGAACACAGGGAGCCTCAAATCTCCTCCAGCCAGGACTCGGTATCATGCTGTTGACCATCAACACAACATGTTTGCACCAAGACATTTGCTGCTCTGCTGAAACTGAAAGCTGCTCACAGAAATTTTTCCATCAACATTTCCAACAAGCAAAAAGGAAACTGGCAGGTGAGAACATGAGCCAGGCATAAGATACAAGCTTTTCTCTTCTAAAAGCCCCGACCTGGAGAGAGGGAATCTCCAAGCAGCAGCTCTTCTCCCTGCCCCACCACGTTGCCAGGCATCGTAAAGCAACATGGGAAGGTGCCATACCTGTACGTGACGTGCACTGCGGTGCCGGGCTCATCTCTCTCCCAGATCAAAGCCACTCTGTTTGGAGACTTTTCGACGTGTTGATCCAAGCAATTTACTGTAAGGAAAACAGAAGTTTAAACAAAGCCTGATCGTCTCCAAGGTGCCCTGTAAACTTAACTTGGTCGAGCGTAACAGCAAGCTAGGGTAAGATGAAACATCATGTGTTAGCTGGCAGGCCACACACTCATTTATAGCACTGGAAGCAACAGCATTTGTAGCACTGGTAAACCAGTCCTTTACCATATCTGTATTATGCAAATACTACAAATACTATACTTAATTGGTACAGCTGCCTGAGAGATGGCATCCCCCCGAGAGGCTCCGGCTGATTCAGCTCAGCTTAGCTCCACTGGCTAAGCTTAAACCAGCCCAAATCTCTCCCTTGCTCCCAGCAGCACAAAGACAAGACACTCTTTTTAATGTTTTTGCTCCCCAGAGCAGCATTTCACTATGTAAATCTGACAGACTGCCTTCCCCAGCTTGCATTTTTAGCACTGCATCGTTTTGAATTTTCTAATTAAAACTCTTGTGAAACATTTTTATTCCATGGTGTAACAGAAGAGCTGAATCTCATCTAACTGAAAATATCCAAAACTTTAGCATCTAGGGTAAACTCACAGCGTACACACATCTACACCCTACCAGACATCTGGGAAAGAAGAACATGTCTCAAGCTGTGTACTACACCTAAAACTTACAAGGTATAAAATTACCTTCTGAAGGGGCATCTCTCCCCCCAACAACTTGAGACAGAGGAAACCTGAACAACTGAGAAGCTCAAGTGGACTTTGGGAGAGTGCCCACTCTCAAGAAACTTATAGAGCATCCACCCAAAAAACCTGCCTGTATGTTCACTAGCAACTTGCCTGATGGTTACAGAGTAACCTTGTAAAATATCAGTTCCAAGTCTAAATTAGCTTACTTATTTCATTATAAACTTCCAAAGGCAGTTACTGTATTTCAATAGGCAGCAATTAAAACCCAGTCAGGCACACTGCTGTATAACTTAGAGAACACCCTTAAGAAAAAAAAAGCTGGGTTTCGGATCATATTTCCTGGAAAAGTTAACACTGGTGGGAAAGGATCTCTTTTTTCCAGATAAACCAAGCGCAATGAAAGCTGCCTATTGCTGTCACAATTTGTGAAGTTTAAAACTGCAGCCCAGGAGTCAGCTTTGGCTGTTCTGTGATCACAGTTGATTTACACCAGCACACAGAGGGTGGGAATGAGCCCCTAAAGGTGCACAGAGAGAGAAATCCCTCAGAATTTGGTATATTTCATTACAACTGTCAATCTCAAAAACATGATAAAGCGCTCTGCAGCTGTTTAAAGTCTTTCATTTTTTAATGAAAAAATCCACAGGTAACTGGATCTGCTGCAGCTTTGTCCATGACCCTTGGCAACTCCCAACTCCAAGCTCCTTGCAGCAACACCCTCACATATTGCACCACACCGCAGTAAATCACATTAACAGGGATTCATTGCCCAAGCAGCATTTCTTGCTCGTGAGCAGCCGTACTGGCTTTCAGAGGGAATTTCGGTTGCAGCAAGGCCCGGCCGAGCCAAGTAAGAGCTTTAGCTCTTTGCTCAGTAAGAACAGGGAGGTGAACCAGGGCCAAATGCTATTATTTCCTTCCTGATCTTAGGCTTACAAGAGCCTTTTTCTCATTTTACAAAGTAGAGTTTAGTGACCTTCCCCTTACTACTACACCTTAATGGTTTCTCCACACATTTCCTTGCCTTGGAAGGAAGGGAAGGCTTGGGAACGATTCATTTTGGTAGGAAGTGTGCCTGAGAACCCAGTCCCCTCGTTGGAAGTGCAATAGTTTGTCAGGTTATTCCCTTGGCCAGGAGTTACAGTGCAATAAACCCAGAAGCGCTGAAGGTCACAGTTCCCCCAAATCCTACAACAAGGTCTCCCCAAGCAAAAAGCAGCAGATGACTCAGCTGTGTTGGGATACGGGCACACAGGATGCTCTGGACCTGAACTGTTGCCATGTTTCTGTAACCAGTGTTCAGATCTAGAGATCAAGGGACACAACCAGAGCCTCCTAGCAGAAAACCAGCCACTCAGCTGTGGACAAGTACCATCTCCATCGTGCTTTGAAAGAGGAAAACCAGCAATAGAAAAACTGTTTAATTCTGTGCATCTGTGGCTCAGAGGTCTACAGTTTCTTTTTTACGTATGCAAAGAAAACTAAATGGCATTTAGTGCCTGCTGAAGAGCAAGACCCAAGACATGATCTAAAATCAGGCCCAGCAATATCTGGATTTCAAACACGTGACCCACATGGGATCCAGAAGGTGTTGATCCCACTCTACAGCAGAAAGAAACAGATTCCTGAAAGTCTCTGTGCTCAGCCAAGACCTTCCTTTCAAGAGGCATCAATGAAAACAGAAGCCCAGCTAAAACCGCTCCGATTGCTTGGTGCTGGAAGCAGGACTGTACACACACCCCCATCAACTTGGGACCTGCTGCTGGGAATCATCTCCTGGGAGGAGAAGCTCCCCTACCTTCTTTGGAAGACCCGAGGAGGGTCTGCACTTTTTGCTGTGAAATAAGGCGGCCAGAGATGCTGCAGTACCTGCACTACTGAACCGGTGATCCAAGCTTTCTCCCAGGAGCGGGAAATGAAGGTAAGAAACACACATGCCTGCCAAGACACCTCCCCACTGAGATGTACCCTAGACGGGGCAGCGTCTTGGTCCCCACGGGCTGAAGCAGGGCCACCGCGCTCAAGAGCCTTCCAGGCAGAGACGGCCAGGAAGAAACTCGGAGGGAGTTAGGACCCTCAGGGCACATTTTTCTCTTCCGTCATGTACTTGGTGACGTTGGAGGAAAAGACCAAGCTCCTCATTGCAGAGATACAAGAAAGCTGCAGCCTCCCCCGTAAACACCGGGATGCGCACCATCC